CCACACTCTAGGTTCCAGCCACACAGAATCACCTGTTGTTAATGATGGCAGTCATTGCAGTCACAGTAACTTTAGAGTACGTAACACTTTCCTGTTGGTTTGAGCACTTGTTAAACTTGATTAATCTCCACCGGGACCCTATGAAGTAGCTACTAATATTATCCCAAGTATGTATTTGAGAAAGCTGAGACACAGGAAGTCAAACATCTCACTCAAGGTCACGCAGCTAGTAGAGGAATAGAGCCCCAGATGCCTGGGAGAACTGCACAATTAACCATATGCCAACACCCATTTCCCCAGCTACACGCTGCGTTTTCATACTTCTGTGGTTTTGTATAGCAAACCCAGATCATACAGTACCTCCTCGGTGAAGCTGGTCCCAACCCCACCCACTTTTCCTTTAGCCCCTACCCAACAGAAGTCCCACCTTGTCCTCTTAGTAGTTTGTATCCAACTTTGTTATGACAGTGAATTCTTTTTGTTTTTTTGAGACAGAGTCTCGCTCTGTCACCCAGGCTGGAGTGCAGTGGTGGCTCACTGGCTCACTGCAACCTCTGCCTCCTGAGTTCAAGAGATTCTCCTGCCTCAGCCTCCAGAGTAGCTGGAATTACAGGCGCCTGCCACCACGCCCATCTAATTTTTATATTTTTAGTAGAGATGGGGTTTCGCCATGTTGGCCAGGCTAGTCTTGAACTCCTGAGCTCAGATGATCCGCCTGCCTCAGCCTCCCGAAGTGCTGGGATTACCAGCGAGAGCCACCACGTCCGGCGACAATGAATACTTTTAAGTCATGATTATTTACCTTTCTGCCTCCCCACTTGATTAAGGGGCCCATTTTAAATCTAATGTCCCCTCCTAAAAGCACAGGGCCTGGCACAAAGTAGATGCTTAGTAAATGCTCCCTGAATAATGCAAGGCCATGCAGTCTGGGGGTAAAGCAGGCGGGGTGGAACAGTAAGCAAGGCATAGAAATAGTACCAATACTCATGGAGCATTTACACTCCACACATCCTTTTTTTTTTTTTTTTTTGAGACAGGGTTTCACTCTGTCACCCTGGCTGGAGTGCAGTAGGACAATCATGGCTCACTGCATCTGCTACCTCCCAGGCTCTAGCGATCCCCCCACCTCAGCCCAAGTAGCCGGGACTACAGGCGTATACCACCATGCCCGGCTAATTATTTTGTTGTTTTGTTTTGTGCAGATGCGGTTTCGCCATGTTGCCCGTGCTGGTCTTGAGCTCCTGAGCTGGAGAGTTCTGCCTGCCTCAGCTTCCCAAAGTGGTGGGATTATAGACGTAAAGCACCATGCCTGGGCTCACACATACGTTAAAAAAAAAAAAAAAAAAAGTAGGCTGGGCTTGGTGGCTCATGCCTGTAATCCCAGCACTTTGAGAGGTTGAGGCAGGAGGATCACTTGAGTTCATGAGTTTGAGACCAGCCTGGGCAGCGTAGCAAGACCTCATCTCTACTAAAAATAAAAAAAAATACCTGGGCATGGTGGCATGTGCCTATAGTCCCAGCTATGCGGGAGAATCACTTCTGGTGGGGGTGGGATGGATCCTGCAGTGAGTCGTGTTTGTGCCACTGCACTCCAGCCTAGGCAACAGAGCATGACCCTGTCTCCAAAAAATTTTTTTCTTTTAATAAATATTAGATTTTCAATGATACCTCATGAGGCCTGTAGAGATAGTTTGTTGTTGTTGTTGTTGTTGTTTTCTTTTTTGGAACTGACTTTCGCTCTTGTTGCCCAGGCTGGAGTGCAATGGCGTGGTCTCGGATCACCGCAACCTCCACCTCCTGGGTTCAAGCGACTTTCCTGCCTCAGCCTCCCAAGTAACTGGAATTACAGGCATATGCCACTACACCCGGCTAATTTTGTATCTTTAGTAGAGACGGGGTTTCTCATGTTGGTCAGGCTGGTTTGAACTCCCGACCTCAGGTGATCCACCCGCCCCCGCCTCCCAAAGTGCTGGGATTACAGGCATTAGCCACCGCACCCGACCTGAGATAGTTTCATTACAATATATGAGGCTATTGATTGAATCTTTGGAAATAGAAATAAAGTGGTCCTAAGACGTTTTTATTTTTCTTTTTTTTTATTTATTTTTGGAGCCATCTCACTGTGTTTCCCTGGCTGGTCTCTAACTTCTGGCCTTAAGAAATCCACCCCAGCCTCCTGAATAGCTGAGATTATAGGCATGAGCCCCCACACCTGGCTCTGCTTCTAGTTTTCAACTGCAGAGCTAAGAAAAACTCCCAAAGTCAGTAACAATTTTCTAGAAAAATGGAAAAGAACCACAGGTATTCTTTTTTCTTTTTTTTTTTTTGAGACAGTGTCTCCCTCTGTCACCAGGCTGGAGTGCAGTGGGGCCATCTTGGCTCACTGCTACCTCTGCCTCCCGGGTTCAAGCGATTCTCCTGCCTCAGCCTCCTGAGTAGCTGGGACTACAGGCACCCACCACCACGCCTAGCTAATTTTTGTATTTTTAGTAGAGACGGGGTTTCACCATGTTGGTCAGGATGTTCTCAATCTCTTGACCTTGTGACCCACACCCCCAAGCCTCCCAAAGTGCTAGGATTACGGGTGTAAGCCACCACGCCTGGCCACCACAAGTATTCTTGAAGTGCCAACTACATCCCTAGCAAAGCAGAAGGAAAGGTTGCCCAGGGTTTGGGAAGACAGTGTTGTCTGGGGAGAAATGTAAATGGAAAGAAAAGAAATGGACATATATAGACCAAGCCCTGAGATTCTGTGACCTTCTTCAATTTCCTGACAACCCCATGGGGAGGTAGTGAGGTTCCCTTGTTGGAGAGAAGATGGAAGCTCAGCAGAGATTCTAACTGAGATCTGATTCCAGAGTTCATGCTCTTTCCTCTGCATCCAGGAAAGAGGAGAATTGGAAATATATAAGACAGTTCTTGACCTCCAGGAGTCTGGGCATACTCGGAAGGGAGTACTGGGGCAATGGGCTTTAGGGACTTAGAGGAGAGAATGGTCTCTTGGGCCAGAAGCGCCCAGGTAGTAGAGGTGGGGGAAGGGATATTCTTGGAACAAGACATGTTCCTGGATAGCACCAGTCTGTGATGGAGGGGATGGTAAGGGGTTGAGATTAGGCTAGAGGTGTTTAAATGCCATGCTGGAGAGGTTTGACCTCTAGTCAGTCGTAACTTCTGAGCAAAAGCTACAGATACTTTGTTGCTATCTGTTAGTCCAGGTCCCCAGTCCCTTATCAGAAATCCTGGCACTGAATATGTTTCAGGATTCCGATTCTTCCTGATTTTAGAATGGTAAATAATGTGCTGCAATGACAACTAGGCTGAGTCCTATCACAGGTCCCACGAGGCATCAGCCTAAATCTGAAGGCTCTAGGACTAGTGACAGCTTTCAGCAGCACAGCATCAGCCATTCTGTTTCTGTGGAAGTCCTTGCAGCGGTCCACATAGAGGTCCAAGAGCTAGTCTTTGCCCCGAGAAGTGAAAACTTGGGAGTAAAGAGATGAAATCTGTCATGCGCATCCGTGTGAAGAGACCACCAAACAGGCTTTGTGTGAGCAACATGGCTGTTTATTTCACCTGGGTGCAGGCAGGCTGAGTCGGAAAAGAGAGTCAGCGAAGGGAGATAAGGGTGGGGCCGTTTTATAGGATTTGGGTAGGTAAAGGAAAATTACAGTCAAAGGGGGGTTGTTCTCTGGTGGGCAGGAGTGGGGGTCACAGGGTGCTCAGTGGGGGAGCTTTTTGAGCCTGGATGAGCCAGGAAAAGGGATTTCACAAGATAATATCATCACTTAAGGCAAGGACCGGCCATTTTCACTTCTTTTGTGGTGGAATGTCATCAGTTAAGGCGAGGCAGGGCATTTGCACTTCTTTTGTGATTCTTCAGTTACTTCAGGCCATTGGGGCATATACGTGCAAGTCACAGGGGATGCTTGCAAGTCACAGGGGATGCGATGGCCTGGCTTGGGCTCAGAGGCTTGACAAAATCCACATGGGGTGTGTGCAGGAACTGGCCATTTTCCTCAGAGGCTGGTCTCACTCTTGAGAATGTCATCAACAAAGCTGCCAGGGTTCCAACAAAACATTGTCACACTCTGGGAAACCCAAAGTTGTGCATTCCCCATTTACAGTTCCTTCCAGGCCAGATGCCGTGTACTATGCTGGGTCATTTTCACCTTAAGCAGTGTTGCCTGGTTATGTGTGTAGTTGTCATACTACCTTTATCCCGTCTCCAGGGGGACAAGTTAACAGAAGTTAACTAATTCTCACACAGAAGGGAAAAGGCTTTGTATTGTAGCACTTTACCCACATATGCGTATATCATGTATTCAGTCACACCTGCAGTGGGTGGCATGCCATACTCATGGCATGTTAATATTCCTGCAGCAGAATGCATCTATCCTAACAGGAAGGGGATAGGTAAAGATTAAACCTCCATCAGCTCAGGTTAGGTTTGGTACCCAAAGAGTTTAAAAAAAAAAAAAACCACCACCACCAAGGCTGGGCATGGTGGTTCAGGCCTGTAATCCCAGCACTTTGGGAGGCCGAGGCAGGCAGATCACTTGAAGTCAGGAGCTCGAGACCCGGCTGGCCAACATGGTGAAACCTCATCTCTACCAAAAAATATGAAAAGTAGACGGGCGTGGTGGCACACGCTTGTAGTCCCAGCTACTCAGGAGGCTGAGGTGGGAGAATTGCTTGAACCCAGGAGGTAGAGGCTGCAATGAGCCAAGATCACACCACTGCTCTCCAGCCTGGGCGACAGAGTGAGACCCTGTCTCAAAAACAAAACAAAACCCCACCAAAAAAAAAAAAAATACCTTTCAGATTTTAGAGCTTGTAAAGTTTAGTATTATTTGGAAAGGGGATTGTAGACCTGTGAATTTCCTCTCAGGAGATCCCTTGAGATGTGCAACGAGTGAACGTTGCCTGCCTTCCCACTAGAGGGCCCCTGACTATCACTGTGTCTGGGATCCTTGCTAATGGAAGTTCTTCTGTTGCTTCAGCTCGCAGATGCCAGCAAGTTACCTAACCTGAAAGAACTTCTCCAGTCCTCTGGAGACAACCACAAACGGGCCTGGGACCTGGTGAGCTGGATTTTATCCTCAAAGATCCTGACAATCCACAGTGCAGGGAAGGCAGAGGTGAGACTTTGTTTCCGTTAGGATCACAGACTTTAGGGGCCTAAGGGCTCTAGGACAGCACTGAATCCAGTGGCTCTGAGACTTCCCTGTGTACCAGTGACCTGGGCAGCTTGAGAATGCAGATTCCTGGTCCTCACCTTTAGACTTTCTATTTCTGTGTCTGGAGTCAGGCCCAGGAACTTTCCCACTGGCTGTACAAAGCTGAGTTCTGTCTCATCTCAGCTGTGTGACCTTGAGTAGGTACCAGGTGCATTTCAGTACCTCCGCTTCCTCATCTGTAAAATCAGGATGATAATAGTATACTTCCCTCAGGGCACTGACTATGAGAATTGAATGAGTTTTCACACTTTGAATAATGCCTAAGGGCACATACTAAGGGCTTGGTATGTGTTGGGATTCACTTTATTTAACAAGCACCGCTGGTAATTCTGATAAGGGTGACCCTGACCATACCTTAAGAAACACTGACCTGGGTCAGTTGTCAGGAGACGGAGTGGCAGAGCTCAAAGGAGTGGAAAACCTCATGCTCTGGGTTCAAATGCCATTTCTATCAAAAAGAGCCTCCTTTTTCCCATTTGTTAATTGAGATACTGATAGTTACCTCCAAGTGGGGCAATGATAAAATGTGTGTCACCCCCCCCCAGCACAGTTTCTGTCACGAGTCAGACATTCCATAATTTGGTTTACCTTGCCTGGCTAGGGTCTCCCAGGGACAGGCTGGATGACAAGGACCAGGGTGTAGGACTTGATTCCTGCTCTGGTACTCTTCCCTTACCCATACCGTTCATCACTTAATTCATTTCAATTTAAGAGTATTCAGTTTTGGCTGGGCGCGGTGGCTCAAGCCTGTAATCCCAGCACTTTGGGAGGCCGAGACGGGCGGATCACGAGGTCAGGAGATCGAGACCAT